AAGGGAGAAATCACTCTGCAATAATAGCTGGAAACTTCAGTAGACCATTTTCAATAAGAGATAGAACAACCAGACAGAAAAGAAATAAAGAAACGGAGGACTTGACCAACACCCTAAACCAACTCTACCTAGGAGACCCACGCAGAACACTGCACCCAACGACAACCCGGCACACATCTTTTTCAAGTGCGAAGGAAACATTTTCCAGGATAGATGTTAGGCAATAAAAATGGAAATCATAAAAACGATCTTTTCTGATCACAGTGGAATAATCAAAAATCAATAATAGAAGGAAAGCTAGAAAGCCCACAAGCACGTGGAGTTAACACACTCCTAAACAACAAATGGATGAAAGAAGAAATCATCAGGGAAATTATAAGACTTTGAGACAAATGAAAACAAAAACACAACATAGCAAAACCACAGGATGGTATGGAATGGGATGTAGCAAAATGCAGTGTTCAGAGTGAAATTTAGAGCTCTAAACAACCTAACTTTACACCCTAAGAATTGTTACGGTTTGGATCTGAAGTTTCCCCAAAAGCTCATGGGTTGAAAGCATAGTCCCCAATGCAGTAAGGTTCAGAGGTGGGGCTTTCAGGTGATGATTGGATCATGAGGGCTCTGACCTATCAGTGGGTGAACCAAAGGAATTACTGGAGGTGGGACCTACGGGGAGGGCGTGGTCACTGGGGGTGTGGCCTGGAAGGGTTGAACTTCTCCACTGCTCCTGAGCTGTCCTGAGCTGACAGCTTTCCTCTGTCCCACCTTGCCACTATGATATTGTGCCTTGCTTGAGGCCCAAAGAGGAGCCCACCAGCCATGGACTGAAACTTTTGAGCCAAAGTAACTTTTCCCCTTCTAAATTGTTCTTGTGGGGTATTTTTATCACAGCAATGCAAAGCTGTGATAAAAATCTAGAAACAGAAGAGCAAACTAAACAACAGCCCAAGGAAGTTATAAGGATGCGAACATATCTACATAAAACAGAATAGAAAAACAAAGAAAAAATCTGAAAATTTAAAAGTGTTTCTTTGAAAAGATCATAAAATTAGCAAGTCTTTAACTAGATTGACTAAGAAAAAAAGATATATTATTAAAATCAGAAATAAAATGGGAATGCTTACTGATTTTACAGGAGAAAAACAGATTATAAAGGAATACTACAAACAATTGCATGCGAACATTTTTTCCTTTTGGGGTTGTTCATTGTTAGTGTATATAATTTGTGTGATTTTGTGTGAGTGTGTTGATTTTTTTATTCTTCAACTTTACTGAACTTGTTAATTAGCTTTAAGAGTTTGTGTGTGTTAATCATATTAATAGATGAAACAAATTTCTAGAAACATGCAATCTACTAAAATTGGATCATGAAAAAGTAGAAAGCCTGATTATACTTTATATAACTAGTAAAAAAAATTGAATCATTTTTTTTTTAAAAGCTTCCCAGGAAAGTCCTGGATCAGATGGCTTCATTTGTGATTATTCCTCTCAAACACTTAAAAGAATTAACACCAATCCTTCTTGAACTCTTCAAAAATATTGAAGAGGCAGAAACACTTCCCAACTTATTCTACATCAACATTACCCTGGTACCAACATCAGACAAAGATGCCACAAGAATAAAAGGCTACACACCAGTATCTTTATAAATACTGATGCAAAGATCTCCAATAATAGTAATAACAATAGTATTGATAGCAAACCAAATTTGGGAGTATATTAAAAGATTTTATGCCATGATAAATGATTTATTCCTGGATTGCAAAGATAATTCAGCATATGAAAATCAATTGATGCATTATACCATATTAACAGTATAAAAGAAAAATCATATGAAAATCTCAATTGATGAAAAAAAAAGAAACTGACAAAATTCAACATCCTTTCTTAATTTTTTTCTCGTGTGTGTGTGTGTGTGTGTGTGTTGCTGTGGATTGAACCCAGGGCCTTGTGTATGTGAGGCAAGCACTGTACCAGCTGAGCTGTATCTCCATCCCTCTTGATGTGTGTGTGTGTTTTTTTTTTAAACATTCAATATCTAGGAATAGAAAGAACTTCTTCAACATGATCCAGGTTATATATGACAAGCCCACAGCTAACATTACACTCAGTGGTGAAAAGACCAAAAGTTTTTCCTCTAAGATCAAGAACAAAACAAGGATGTCAGCTTTCACCACTTCTATTCAACATAATATCAAAAGTTTTAGCCAGAGAAATTAAGCAAGAAAATGACATAAAAAGAGTCCAAATTGGAAAGAAAGAGGTAACATTATCTCTGTTTGCAAACGGCATGATCTTAGACATAGATTACACACAAATGCACACATTCTCTCTTTTCCTGCCCTCCCCTCCCCTCTCTTTCTCTCTTAGAGCTGATTAACAGGTTCAGCACAGTTGCACAATACAAAATCAACACACACACATCACAAAGATGCTATATACTAACAATGAACATTCCAAAAAAGAAAATTAAGAAAACAAACAAAAATAAAATATTTAGGGATAAATTTAATAAGAGATAAAAGACTTAGAGATTGAAAACTACAAAACATTTCTGAAAGAAATTAAATACAACATAAGTAAATGAAAAGACACCCCATTTGTTAATGGATTAGAAGACTTAATATTGTTAAGATGACAATACTGCTTGCTCTCATTTGGATCTAGAGTGTTAAAGGCCCATGTTAAAAGTTTGGCTCCCAACTTGGTGCTATTGGAAACTTTGAAAGGTGGGGTTTAAAGGGAGGTTTTAGGTCACTGGTTGCAAGCCCTCAAAGGGTCTGGTCTCATCTCTTTTACTTCCCAGCCATGAAGTGAACAATTTGCTCTGCCATATGCTCCCACCATGGTGTATTGCCTCACCATAGGCCCACAAGTAATGGGCCAACTGACCATGGATTGAAACCTCCAAAATGAATATTCTTTTCAAATTGATTATCTCAGGGATTTTGTTACAGTAATGGAAAGCCGACTAACAGAGAAGTAAAATAAATAATTTGGAGGAGGGATCTTGTACAAATGGAAGTGTGACTTGAATGAAGACATAGGATCAACTCAATTCTGTAGTCTTCAGTGAGAAATGTGTGGACTTTAGGGAGGGATCTTGAGTCAGATAATCAACAACTTTGTAAAGCCTGCTAAGAAACGTGATGTTATCCTGAAAATTATGGGTCTGAAAGACTTGCCTTAGAATGAATGAGATGGCAGATGCTGGGATAGTGCTCCTTCAAAGCAACCCACCCCAGGTCTCCTCATGTGCAGTGGAGTTAACATGGTCAAAGATGCCCTAAGCCAGGTATGCATGCTTGACATCATGGGTACAAAAGTCCTTGGGAGCCCCACAACTCCGACTGTCTACTCTTCCCTGATACTTGCATACACAGAAGCTCACCAGAAGGAAAGTCCAGTTAAAGAGGTCCAGTAGGAACAGCTGCAGCACAGCTAGAACCACCTTCCAGGATGTGAATGTGACTAATGCACAGGCACCTACCCTGGTGTCCAAGGATTCCATGTTGTTGACTGTGCTCTGCAGCAGTTACAGCCCTTGGGGCTGTCGGTCAAAAGTTCTATGCTAATACTTGGGGTATTAACTTTTTTGCAAGTTTTCTTTTCCACTGGCAAAACACTCACTTCTCATAATCAAGTACTTAAATATTTACATAGGAATTTCTCCTTCTTGGTCTTTTACTAAATCCTCACCTAGTAGATAATAATCAGCTCTGGAATTGAGGGAAAACTTTGATAGTCTCTAAGCCTTTCCAATGCCAACACCCTGGGGCCCAAGAAGACTCCCTTTTCCAGGTGCCAAACACTTCCTGTGTATGTGCCTCATGTGGGTGGCAACCAGAGCACATCTGAGATCAGACTACGGTTGAAACCCTGCATCTACTGCTGATGATCTGCTAGATGAACTTCGTTTCTCTGTAAAAACTGGAGGTTAAAAAGTTCCGTCACACAAGAAGAATGCAGAAAAAAAATGCACATGTAGATACTCAGCACAAGGATCTGGCATTTGGGGAACACTCAAGGAAAATGGGTTCCTCATCTTCCTTCCTTTTTGTTTAGGGAAACAAATTCTGCAAATATTTTCACAATGTAGATTTCACAGACTGCCATGATCAAATCTTCCCTTTTCAAGAATTTAAAAATAAGCTCAAGTGCAGTGATGTATCTAGAAAGAAATTTCTAGGAAAAACCTAAGCTGCAGAGACTGCTGATAAACAACTAGGTGAGAAAAACACAAATGTTTTATGATGCTATCTCCCTAGAAAAATGTTTCCACTAAAGACAAAAAAATATATAATGAGTATTTTCTCTATATAAATACACTTATATTTGTCATCTCATTAATCCTGCTAATGTGGATTTTTGTCCCTCCTCCTTTTAGATCACTGGCCAATTCTAATGAGAGCCCAGACTGCTGTTACCTTAAGCAGGTGCTCAGGGAAGAGAGGGGAAAAAAAAGAGAGAGAGAAAATACCATACCCCCTAACAGTTCTTATCAGCTGACCATGCTTGCTACTGTAAATATATTTTAAGACAGTGATTGTCCACCCTATCTTCCTGAGGCCACAAAGGACTAATTAATTAATTTTGATTATTGCAATTAGAATAAGTCTTTGGAAAAGTAACTTGGCAATATCAAGCCTCTAAATGCTTGTACTCTTTGGCCTGGAATTGTCTCTCTAGGGCTCTTGTGGGAGGGATGGAAGGAGTCTAATTAGGAAACAGACACATGCACAAAAAAGCTTATCATGATATTATTTTATAATAGTAAAAAAGTATGGGAAACAACCTGATAATATGAGCAGTTAAATAAACTATGGTATACTTACCAGATGAATGGATCTGTTTACAAGGAGTCTGTCAAAACCTGAGTATCATAGGATATAGGCACTCTTATCAAAATTGTATTTTTAAAAATAGAGCAAAATATGAACTCTTCAAAATTCAAAAAGTCCCTAAGAAAAAAATGCCAAACTTTGGAAGTGACAGGCTTTTGGTGGTGAGAGATTTAGGGTAACTTTTTTTTTTTTTTTTTTGTATTCCTCTTACTTTCAGGTTTGTCGCAAGGACTAGATTATGTAACTTTTCTGATAGTAAATATAATAATAAACATATTCTATGTAGGAGAAAAAACAAACATAGAGATGTCATATGGAATCTCTGGGTTTGGGAGATGGCCAAGAATGGGATAATTCACATCAATACACAATTGATTGTCTCGGTTCCAAAAAAAGCATGGGACTGGCTGATGTGGAACCTGCACTCCCTCCTCTTCTCCCAGAGCTTGCTGGTTCCTCCCAGGATTTTGGGGAGGCCTGGAGAACACAGGGTCGCTGACATCAGGGGCTGGAGCATCACTTATGCACTTGCTCCCATGCCCAGTGCATGTGAATGAAACCAAACTTATTTATTATTTACTTAGCACTTCCTATACACAAGCACTGTTTTGGTGCTTTTTATACCTATATCTTTCTCAGTTTTGCAAGGTTTTGCAAAAAGCTCTTCGTAAAAGTACCTATTGTCTCCTCCTGGTCTGTCCCCATTCTCCCCTCTCTACCCACACAGAGAGTGCCTTTTAGGAATATAATTGATTTGGATGAAAGCAAAACTCAGCAGGCTAGGCTAGCCCTTTGTTATATATAAAGACTCCTCGCTGCTTGGAGAGCTGACCAGAGAAATATCTTCAGGTGGTTGGGAGAGGGAAGGGTTCTAGAAAGACAGCAACAGAGAAAATCCCACAAGCCTTCTCCCTGTGATGTGGCTTGTTTGCTTTATGGGCTTCAAGAATATTTGCTGATGTCAGCAGCCCATCAAAGTTTAAAATAATAATAGTGAAAAGAAAAACAGCTCCTTTCTGCCAGGCAGTCCTGTTCTGCCAACTTCTGTGTTCTTTCTAAGTTAATAAACATCCAAGAGCCACCTCCTCTACCACCCTGGGGGGAAAAAAGCACAATAATTTAAAAACCACCAGGTCAGCCCATTGCCAGCATAAACCATTCAGACAAGTAGCATTTGTCACACTCTAATGAGGATTTTACCTCTGCCTCAAAATGAAAGCTACCATTAGACTTTGAGTTTAAGGGATCAAATGATTGTCTGAGGACAGTGGGTTTCTTTGGGTTCCTTCCTCATTTTAATCATGCCCAAGACCAAATGCATAGATGTTTGCTGCATCAGATGAAACTAAAAAACCATAATTATGCCAAGTAAGGTCTTTTGAAAACATCAATTAAGAAAACGGCCTTTTAATTCTGATTTTACTTGAAAATCTGAAAACACACACACACGTGTTGTAATACCATGGCAGTGGCAGTATCCAAGGTGGGGCTGTCTCTAGGAAGGAGACAGCACAGATGGTGGCCTGAGGAGGTCAGGAGGGCAGGCTCCTTTTGGCAACACAGAGGGTCCCTGCAAGGGAAGAAACTTCTCTATAGAACAAGGCCTCTTAAGTTATCTTCACGTGTAGTGTTGAAACTGGAGCCAGCCCCAGTATCCTCAACAGTTAGGTTGATAACCAGGCTCTCGCACCATGCTGGCACCACACACACAGCCCATTGTTAATACCTCCTCAGGACAGATTAGAGTCACATTCCTCAGAAGTACTCAACTCCAAAGGGAAACCAGCCAGCAGACTCCTTCCACAGGGCCAACAACTCGCTACAACTGATAAGTTTTAATTGAAATAACTGGAACAATTACACTCGAATGCCCACCAGCTCTATCACTGGCCACAGAGAACATGTCACCCTCCCCTGGCATGTGCACAGGTGTGCATCAGACAAGAGTAATCCAAATCCTTCGCTCACTTGAATACGCTTTTATTTGTAAGCTACGTGCTATGGTTAATCAACTCGTTCACCTAAGGTGTACCATGAAGTTATTTTACTTTTATTTGGAGGCCTTTATCTAGTAAACCCTGATATTTACACTGTCTCGATTTAAGTTTGAACAAGTAACTAACCTCTGACCGAAGATACTGAAGTCAGACTTGAATTTGGGTAAAATCCATGAAGGTCATAGTTGGTTTTAATCTTATAGCTCAAGTTCAAAGCTGAACATGAGCAAAGATCTTTGTTTTTAAGTTTAAACTAGAGTGCTCATTAAACAGCAAATTAAGTTGTGTGTAACTTGAGTTCTGCAACTTCCCTTTTATTTTTTTCTGAAATAACAGTGATTGGGTCAACAAAGTGGCAGCATGAACCAAAGGACAATACACCTGCCTTTGCAGGAACAGACCCCAAAGAGCCCAGATTAAATTTTAACCAGGGACTATGTTTGCCAGGATTTGATATCTCCAAAAGAATATGTTTGGCTTTTGTAATAATAAAAGACTACATTGGAAAAAAAAAAGATCCCCTTTCAACCTACACTGTATTTTCTAGGAGGAAATACAGAGTTAGACTTCCATACAATTTAGCCTTTGAAAGAAAAGGCAAATGATTTAGCCAAGGGGTAATTCCCAAATCTGCAGAAATGTAAACAGGCAGGGTTTTTGGTGCCTATGGGTTTTTATCAAAGATGTTAAGTAAGGCTGAGACCAATACCATTGTGTCCTCTTTGGCTAGTTTTAACACGTTTACAGTCACAATTAACATTCAAGGAATTTCCTTTTCATCCAACTGTTTCTTTTAAGAGCACTTTATGCCACAGACTATAGTTCTAGCTGCCATCAGTTCTTCCCCTTCAGAGGAGTGGTGAAATCTCCATAATACTTATTTCTTGTGTTGAAAATGGGTTTGGACCACGTCTATTTCCCCAGGGTGATGGAGAAGGAAGAGGTTGCATCCCTAGACTGAGAAGTGCTATATTAGTTTTCCAGTATAGGGGGTTTCCACCGCCTCACTACCTCTTTCTCTTGAAAGAACTTGGAACACAGACCAGGCTTCCTTCTCCTTCACCCTCCTCCACACTCACCCTGTAACCAGAGAAGAGCCAGTGCCCAGCAGGCATCCCCAACCCTTCCCCGATCCGGTTGGAGATCTGAGGCCAGGCAGCAGCTCCGGGCTCACCCCAGCCTAATTTGGGGTCCCTGAGCTGGCGGGTCCAATGCCTGCTGCAAGAAACGGAGACATTTCCGTCTCCGGCTCCCTCCCTGCTTCTCCTACACCAGGGATTCGCACACAGGCACAGAATCCGAGTCCTGGCTGTGCATAGAGCTCAGTCCAGTATCCGAGTCCTCGTCGTTGCCAGGACAGCTCTTGGCCATTCCGCGAGCCTGGTCCACCCACATCTCGGCGCAGGCCTGAGGCTGGGGTTCCCGCGTGGGTCCGCTGGGGCCAGAAGCCCCCTCCTGCACTATGGTGAGCTCCAAAGTGTTCAAAGTCTGGAGAAGGCCCTGCAGCTCACGCTCCTTGCTGTCCCGCTGCTGCTGGCTGTAATCCAAGTCCGCCTTGACGGCTTCCAGGTCCGTGTTGAGCCTGAGCCCAATGTAAAGGCTGGTGCTGAGTTGCGTCCTGACCCGCTCCTGCTCCAGCAGCAGCTCGCCGTCCGGGCCGCCGTCGGGCTCCGGGGGCTCCTCTCGCACCGCCAGTTCTTCCCTGCGCCGCCGCATCCATCTCTGGTTCAATTCCTCCTGAATCTCGGTGGAGAGACGCTCCAGCAACTCCTCCTGCTGGGTTCGCTGCTCCTGCAGCTGCAGCAGTTCGTCACAGCGCCGGGCCAGCTCCTCCAGCGCTGCCGCCTGAGCCTCACCGTCCAGGGGCGCCGCTGATACCTCCTCCGCTACCGCTACTTCCTCGGGCTCCTCGCCCGGGATGGGCCCATCGAGTTCTATCCCTGCCCCCACCAAGTAAGTGTCCTGCACGTAGTTCACCCCATGCCGTCGCATACGGTCAAGATGCACCTTGGCTTCGTAGCGGTCGATTTCTCGGTCCAGCTCCAGAAGCCGCTGCACCTGCTGGCGGATGGTGTGGTCCTGGGAGAGCACCAGATGCACCAGCGTCTCCATGCGCTCCACAGACGCACTCTCATGGGCCTGCGGCGGCGACGAACAAGACGAGGCAGTGGACGATGAAGTGGACGAACAGGGAGAAGGCGGCGGCTGCTGCTGGCGCCGCCGGTTGAGCTTGGCCAGCTTGCGGAAGGCCTTGCGCACCACCCGCCGCTGCTTCTCCTGGGTCATGGCCAGGCTGGGCCGCGCCGGGGCTCCCCGGGCCAAGCAGGGGCGCTCCCGGCTGAGCACTACCCGCGCCTCCGCACTGCGCGGACCTGCGTTGGGCAGCGACGCCTCGCTGCGAACTAACACGAAGCGCACGTTTTCTTGCTCGTCGCCCCAGGCGGATAAGAGGCGCAAGATGCGCGTCTTGTTGGGCAGGATGCGCTCAAAGCCACGCCACTTCTCCACGATGCAATAGCACTGCGGGGGCCCGAACAGCATGCCCTGGGACAGCGCCTCATAGTCGTCGTCGTCGTTTTCATCCGGGGGTTCTGGCAGTTCCCCTGGGCCTTGCGGGTCTCCGGCCATCCCCCTTCGCTGGCCCCGCCGCTGCCTCCGTCTTCGCTGGCAGCCGTCCTCCAACAGAACCCGCACCACATCCGAGCAAGTGGTGCGGCGGGAGAGACCGGACACCAGCTTCTCCTCCTGGCAGATCCACACCGATATCTTCTTCTCCGAAGGATCCATAGTGCAAACGGGACACAAACTGCAGATTTAGCCCGGCCCTGGTGGGGCGGCAGGAGCAGCACCAACTGCCAGCGGCTCTGAGATTAAAGAACAATCTGTGATCCCGGTCTCCAGCAGCGCCGGCCTTTCTCCCTGGTTGCGCACCGAAGGCAGGCTCCGGCGCGGGCGGGAGATGCTGTGCTCGGCCCAGACGGCCAGCGTTCCAGAGGCCGCGCGCCCGGGTTCTGGTTCCTGCAGCTCTGGCTCTGCCCACGGTGCCCGAGGCCTCCGGGTTTTGCTCCTCCCCATGTGGCTCCACCCCTTCCCGCCCCAGCGCCCAGAGCTCCCGCCCGGAGCACCCGAGGCGCGGCGCCCAGACTCGCCCCTCCCAGCCTCGCCGCGCAAGTCTGTCCCTCGCTGGAGTTGTTGGCGTCTGAAGTCCAATTTGCAGCTCTTTCGCGAGCGGGTGCAAGGAAGAACTCGAGACCTCTCTGCACCTCTACAAGGTATTAGCTCTGCGTGTCCACCTACTGCCTCCTCCCCTTGCATCTAGAGGTGACTGGATGTGTCTTGATCAAACTATCTCACCTTCCAGGCGCCCCTAAATGTGGCCCTGGTCCTTCAGGGAAGCGTATTCTGGGGAGTGCACTTTGCACAACCTGGGAAACTGAGGCATTCAGCGGTCTCTAACAGAGAAGCTGTAATCGCCTTAGTAAGACCACCTAGGAGCTGTAAGCTCGGAATCTGAGCAAAAGATCTTCCACTCTTCCTTGACAGGAAGCAAGATTTGCATATATAAGCAGAACTAGAAGGGGCAGTGGGCTCGGTGAGCAAGTTTAGGTAGGAAATGTTCGCCACTGGAGCGGGACCTTCAGAGGCCACTCCCAGTTCTCCGCAGGTCATGTCTGCTGGTTTCCAAAGAGCTTCCCACAGCCTTCTTAACAGGGAAACTCCTGATTGTGGTGGAAGTATGAGGCGCAGACCCAAGTTATAAACTCTTTTATGTGTCCTGCTTCCTTAAGGGGAAACCGAGGACACTACCATGGCGGTTTCTGACATTTTCTAGTATCCAGAAAATCCATGTGGCCCAGAAGAGGTAAGAGCCAAGTTTCACAGCACAAGAAAGCCAGTGTCACAATGCCAGTGAACTTGTTTCATCTTCAGCTGATGAGGACAGTCTCTTGTGTGAAAGACTTGCTTTAAGTATATGCCCTGTGAAGCAAAGATCTATAAACTCACTCCCTTCTTCCAAGACCTTGGATGGCTTCTCATTGCTTCTTGGATAAAAGCACTTGTGTCAGTTCACTGATTCATGCAGTAAATATTTATTGAGTTCCTACTATGCCCCAGGTCCTATGCTAAGGCTTTGATGATAAACAAATCACCAGTACTGGCCTGCAGGAATCTCACTATCTAGTGATGAGTACAGCTGAATAAACATTTCTAACACAGTGTCTTCTGTTTTCTAATAGGGGGAAGCATAAGGTGCAAGAGGAACCTACCTGCATGCTGTAGTAGAATCCAGTCTCATCTGGGAGGATCAAGAAGATCCAATAGCATCTTCCAAAAGAACCAAAGGACCATTTGAGCCTGCCAAAGGAAAAACGGATGGAAGACAGGGGCAAGCCCCAATCCAGACAGAAGGAATCAACTTGTAAAGTCAAGGAATCAAGAAAACATGGCAGTTACTGGGGCTATAAAGAGTTTCAGTGAGAGGAGTGTCTAGCAGGCAATGATGGTTAAGCAGGAAAGGATTTTATTTCTACGCTTTTCTACTTGAATTTACCCTAGGAACAAGAAGAAGCCATTGAGTAGCAACACTGGAGTCAGACTGGTTGTTTACTTACTAGCTGTGAGTTTAGGAGAAGTTTTTAATCTGAGCCTTGGTTTTGTCATCTATGAAATGATGATAATAAAAATGCCTGCATAATAGCACTGTTGTGAGGATTAAATTCCTGGACCTAGTAACTCAATAGAGTTTTACTGGAGGGTTGGAGACTTTGAAGGTACCTTAGTTTTTTGTTGCTATATAATAAATTACCAAAAACCTGGTGGCTTAAAACAACACCCATGTATTATTTTGCTGTCCTATAGGTTGCAGGACTTGCTTGGCATGGCTGCTGCATCCTCTGCCCAGAGTGTCTCAGGCTAAAGGTAAGGTGTTGGCTGGTTTGAGTTCTGGGGAAAATCTACTTCCAAGCTTATTCAGATTGTTTCCAGAATCCAGGTGCTTTCAGTTGTAGGACTGAAGCCCCCATTTTTTTTTTTTTAGCTGTCAGAAAAGTCTCAGCTTTTAGAGGCCTCTCTCCGGTCCTTCCCATGGAACACCCCCTCCCTGTTTTAAATCAGCAGTGGCAGGTCAAATCCATCCATCCCTCCTTCTCTTCCAACCTTTCCCTCCTCCTCTTCTGCTACCAGCTGGAGAAAACTCTGCTTTTCAAAGACTAGCTTCATGAGGCAGATAATCTCTCTATCTTCAAGTCAACTGATTAGTCACCTCAAGTACATCTGCAAAATCCCTTTTGCTTCATAATGTCATGTAATCACCAGAGTAAAGCCAGGGAGATTACAGGACCAGCTTAGAATTCTGCCTACTATAGGGAATAATATAACAGATTTTCTCTTTTAAAAGATTATCTGTTTGCATTGGGAAAGATGTGGGGAGGGGGTGAGAAGCAAGGATCACTTTTACAAGACTGCCCCATTCATTTAAGGAAGCCATGTGACAAGAATGGTGGAAGGTTGAACACAATTGAGAGTTATCACAGAGGAGGGAGAGGCAGGACTTAGTGACAGACGGGAGGGAGTTTCCTTCTCCCTGGCATGATGTCAGAGGTCTCTTACAGTCTAGCCCAGCCCACTCCCCCAACTCCTCCCTGGCATGCTTGGTTATCCTTTCCTCCTTCCCCTTTCATATGTGCTTTAGAACTTTGTGATCAGCTGCAGTCCCTGATGAACCTTGCTTTCTTACTTCCTCTTTCCCTGTGCTCTCTCCCTCCCTTCCTCTCTTTCTTTCTTTTTCCTCTTTCTGATTGGAGTCTCACTAGGTTGCCCAGGCTAACCTTAAATAACTCCTGGGCTCCATGGATCCTCCTGCTTCCATCTTCCGAGTAGTTGGGACTACAAGTATACCCCACTACACCCAGCTTCCTAGGTTTCAGACTCCACAGGAGAATGAGTGATCTTATCTGTTTTGCCCACATTTGAATCCTCTGAATTTAGCACATTGCTGACACATTCTAGGTTTATTCACTATCTGCTGAATAAATATGTGGATCAATGAATAAAGCCTACATTCTAGCAAGCCAACCCCTCGCTCAGCCAGAAGAACCCCTGCATCTTGATGTGTCCTCACCATTGTACACACTTTTCCTCCTCCTTAGGATCCATCTTACATAACTAGAGAGGTGCTATTTGTTCTTTCAGAAACTCAGCTCAAAAATCACCTGCTCTGGGTGTCCTTTCTTTCCTTCTCAGAGAAGAACTGGCTCTTTGCTCTTCTCCTGTCTTCATCAATGCAGGGATTTCATATGCTGTGATTCATTTTTTTAATGTCAGTCTTCCCCTAGATGAAGAGATTGCCAAGAGAAAGAACTGACTGTCTTAGTCCTCAGCACCTCCAGTGCCACACACATGGTAGGCTCTTGATCTTCTCCTGTGCTCTAGGAAACACCAAGATGCTACCCTCATGGCAACTTCTTTCTAGAGGCAGACAGATACATGAAATCCCTGCTGTAAGAATGATATCATATTTCTGCTGAACTAATTAAAGGATAGAATGAATGATGGGTCCTGGGAAAGATGAAGAAGGCAGAACTTAAGTAAATGGAGAGAAGGGTTGAGAGCATCCTTGATTGGAGAAATTACATTAATTAAAACATTAAGATGTATGCACATGGTCATGGATTAGTGTTTCAGAGGGTAGAATACCAACCTGAAAAAAAAAAAAAAAACCTCAGTGTCTCCTGTACTTATTCAACACTCAGCTCAGAACACTTCTGTGACCAGATGTGTATGGCATTTCCCCCACCTACCAAGCAAGCAATCAATTCTGCAGCAGACACCAGCTGTGCCTCTTCTAATTCAATTTAATTCTGACACTGTCTACCTGAGACAGAATCAGATCCCACAGGTTAAGGGCTCCGTCCCCAAGACTGCCTCTACTTCAGATGCCAATCACAAGCCCCCCCTTGTTTCATCCGTGTTCTGACCCACGAGCTGCCCATGGGGGTTTCCACAACTCCCTCCTTGAGTATGATTAACTTTAAACTGGCTCACAAAACTTATGTTTACTGGCTTATTATAAAGATATTACTGATGACCATTAGGCAAAGAGGTGAACAGGGCAAAATGAGGAGGAACTCCCACACCTCCTCCAGGAGAGCCTTCCTGTAGGAACTCCAGTGGTCAGCTCTCTAGCAGCTCTCCTAAGCCTGTCCTTTTGGAGGGTCTTATGGAAGCTTCATATGTGGACATGACTGATGAAGCCATTGGCCATGAGGGGTCAACTTAACCTTCCATCCCTCTCCCCTCCCACGAGGTTGAGGAGTAGGATTGAAAGTTCCAGCCCTCTGAGCACATGGTTGGTTCCTCTGGAAACCAGACCCCCATCCTGGACTTGTCTAGAATCTTTCCCCAAAACTACCTCACTAGCATAAGGTTGAGTGTGTTTGAAAGGACCCAAGGAAAACAAAAAACTGTCTTTCACCTTTATCATCCTGAATCTATATTGGAGCTGCTTCAGGAATCAAGGACAAAGGATAAATGTGTCAACACATAAAATACGTGATTGCTTTAAGTCATTTAGGAAATTACAAAGACTGTAAGAGCTGTGAACCTGAAACCATGAAGGAAAACTGAAGTATGTACAGTCATGTACTACTAATGACGTTTCCTTCAGTAATTGACCACGTATAAGACGGTGGTCCCATAAGATTATAATCTAGCTGAAAATTTTCTGTTGCCTGATGATGTAGCAGCTGTCATAATATCATCGCCCAACACATTACATCTGTGGTGATGCTGATGTAAACAAACTTACTGTACTGCCAGGCATTTAAAAGTACAGCCCATACAATTATGTACGGTACTTAGCACTTGATAATGTTAATAAACAACTGTTAGACTTATGTTTATGGTTTATGTACTTACTATATTACACTTTTTATTGTTATTTTAGAGTGAACTCCTACTTATAAAAAAAGATTTACTATAAAACACTATGCCATAGTATGCTAGCAGCAGACTCACATATCTTGTGTTTGCCACATATCTGGATCACATCCTTTTCTCTTGGGCTTGCCTTGGTTTTGTGTTATTTTTTCCATCATGGGCCTAGGAGAAATAGTGATGATATAGATCTCACACACACACACACACACATATATATATATATATATATATATATATATATGTATATATCCTAGCCTAGATGTGTAGTAAGCTATACCATCTAGGCTTGTGTAAGTATACTCTTGATGTTTGCTCAATGACAACATTGCCGAATGCTGCATTTCTCAGAATGTATCCCTGTTGTTAAGCATATTACATTAAACTATGTACAATATAAAAAAAAACTTATATGGAAAGAATTTTATGCCATTACATGAAATAAAATAATTTACAATGTATAAGATAATGCCTAGTATATAAAAGTGCCTGGCACAAAACAAATTCTCAATAAAATATAGCTGGCATTATATTAGGCTATTGATTATGTTTCTGTTTCATGCTGTGTCCTGGGCCTGGGGTTGAGAGTACATCAGTGTCATTCACTGATGGTGAATGGTCCCACCCTTACAGAGCTTACAGCCAGGGTGAGTTCGGTATACGATTGTACTTGCTAGATTAGACTAAGCTACAGTAACAAACAGAGCCAAACATGTATATGGCCCAAACATAGCAAAGGTTTAGTTTTTGCTCGTAATAGTCATAAGCAGATGTCCTAGTTGGTCAGTAGCTTTTGTCCAGACCATGACACAGAGATCCTATTTCCTGCTATCTCTGGCTCCCAAGTCCCCTAGAATTCAGTATTGTATCTGAAAGGAGTGTACGCAGGGCACACCCTCCTCTTCAGGGTCTTGGCCAGAATGGAGCACGTCACTTCTGCTCATTTCCTATTGCAAGAACTCTGTCCCATGGCCACTCATAATGGCAAAGAAGGCTGGGAAATGCAGTGGATTGTGACTCCCACTTTCACCCAGGAAGAAATGGGCTTTCATAAACAGCTAACCTCTTGCCAGAACAATCTTTATTTCTTAAAAATGAAAGATGAGGCAGAGAGAGAAATTCCAGAAGTCTGGTGATTGCAAACTAGAGGCCTACAGGCCAAATCTGGCTGCCTTAGAGCACATCCTTTCCAGTTAGCACGAACCTAACACTCTCTGTGTCTCACGTATGACCCGATTCATGTATGTTTGCAACTTACTCGAGCCCAGCAGACTGGGTTGTGACTCTTGCTTCCACATGTCCACCCAGGACTGGGTAGCTCAATCCCAGGGAATTAATATTATGAATATGCTGATGCTCCCAAATCTATGTGTCCCCTCCCGAGTTCTTTTTGATCTCTGAATATGCACAGCCCAAAACTTGCTGCCTAGCTTTACTTGGGTGTCTTCCAAACACCCAAATGAAAGCAAAATAATCCATCATCTTTCTTCCAAAATCTGTTCTGCCTCCTGTAACAGCTGTGTCAAACAATGGTCCCACTATTCACCAAGAGATTCCGGAAACTTGAGCATCACCCTGGTTCCCCTACCATTTAGTATATGGATGTATATGTATATGTATACCCTGCTAGTATATGGAAGCTCTATGTGGGCAGGAATTTCCTTCTGCTTTGTTTTCTGTTTAATCTTGAGTTAAGAAGAAAAATAGGGTAGGGAAGGGTGAAAAATGGACTAAAAAAGTCGGAATGTGACCACTTGGCCACTTTAGAATAAATTGAGAAGATGTCTTTCAGCACATCATACAAATGTTCAGTCTTAATTCTTAAGAGTTTCCCCATCTAGGATAATAGGCACTAGATGAGTGTAGCTTTTAAGCTTTTGAACTGTGGCTATCAGAATTGAGCTGTACTGTGAGGATAAAGGAAACACTAACGTGTCAAAGACTCATTCCAAAAAAATAAAAATAAAATGTAAAACACCTAAATA